GACAGGCGCAGGTCGCTTGTGTTTTGGGAGTGTATAGGAGAGTAGGAGGGCTCCAGACTGCTTGATTAAGCAACACTTTCACTCCAGTTCTCTTATACAAATGCAAGGGGAGGGCGCCGTTCGACACCTATTTATGGATGCGTTCCCATCAAAAGCGTGGAGTGTTGTTGCAATAGTACGCGTTGACGCGCGTCATCGCGGTGTCTGAACGCTGCTACTAGTAGATGACTTTACAAACTTCTGCATGCGTTTTGAGAGTGAGCGAGACAAGGGAGTGTAGTTCCTAGTGAACAGTAGGGAACATAGTGGTTGTTTAACAATTCACTCAATCATACACCGTTTACTTGGCCTAAAATCCCTTTTTCTAGGACAAATTTTCACTCATTTGTATCCCTGCAACCACCTAAAAAATTAAACTGTTGCCCCTACATAATATGGATAACGTAAGAGGTGATGCGGACTTGTTAGTTGGCAGGGATCCCTAGTAAAATTTTCATTGCGTTTTGAGCAGTGTTCACTCTTCGCGATGCGGCGCGTCATCGCGCTACAATTGCAACAACGCTCCTGTGCTACAGACGGGAACGCGGCAATAGACGGGTAACGATTGGGCCCTGTCCGCTACTGCTTTGAGAGTGCATGGGAGAACAGAGGGGTATATGCTGCCTAATCACAATGTCTGGTACCGGCGTCGTTGCTAGTATTTTGTGAGTATAGAAGAACATTGGGGCGCCAGACCGTGCGATTAGACGACCCTTATCCTCTCATACTCTCGTCGGCCTTCGTCGATTGACATCTCTACGGCTACGTGCCGTCTATAGCATTGGATCCCAATTCAGGGCACATCGTTGTTGGGAATTACCAACAGGAGGTCGTATTTGGGCCGAAAAAATTTCTTGGTAGTTGCCTTCGCGTAGTCTGAACGCTGTCTACGCATCCTGTTCTGGAAAGTTCTGTGAATTCATTATTGCTGTTTAGATGGATCCAATACGACTTTCAATTTTCTCAAATCGATTCATGTCCATTGCTGAGCAAATGGGAAGGGTACTGCAGCGAACAGCTATTTCCACAAATATCAAGGTGTTTTGGTGATTTTATTTTTCCCATCAGTTTTACCTTCTGTTTTGCTGCCCAACAGAGGTTTATTGAATGGTTAATCAATTCCTCTATTTGTTTCAGGAACGTCTTGACTTCTCTTGTGCTTTATTTGATCCGAAGGGAGGATTAATAGCGAATGCACCTCACATTCCTGTACATTTGGGTTTGTGTTAAATATTACCCCAATCTTACCGACTTTCATTGAGACGGTATGCAGTAATTTAAGGCGGAATGCAGTACGCCGTACGGTATCAAATTGATCATCTTGGGTTGGATGGAATTCATAAAGGCGATGTCATCCTATCAAATCACCCGAGAGCCGGCGGAAGCCATCTACCAGATCTTACCATAATCACACCGGTAATGTGACGTAAATTCGAACTGCTTGAAAATCTGTTATCAGCTTGGTTTGTCTTTTCTGCAGTGTAGCTGAGTGTGAAAAGATGAAAATTATTAATTAGGAATAAAAAATTATAGAATTATATTCTTTGTTCAAAGTTTGTTCATAGTACTTTTCTCCCGTAAAGGATAACTCTAGTATGGATGAGATCCTTTTATGTGTAATGCAGAGAAACTAATCATAAGCTTGAAGATAAAGATTCAGCAAAATTATGTTCATTTTAGGTGTTTTTCGAGAACATAGCTGAACCAGTATTCTTTCTGGCAAACCGAGGTCATCACGCAGATATAGGTGGTATTGTTCCGGGCAGTATGCCACCAAATGCTACTTCTTTAGAACAGGTGCGATACTATCAAACTTCCTACAATTGCTTATCATTTTTAAAATCTGTTTCTTTTATACAGGAAGGAGCAACCTTTATATCGTTCAAAATTGTCGATAGAGGAGTTTTTCGTGAAGATACTTTGATAGACAAATTGAACAAGCCGGCAAGTATACCTGGTATGACTGCAGGCATTTATGCGGTGCACGTCATGGCGATATCTAGTGAGAATGTTAAGGTTGTTCTGGTACTCGTAATCTCGCCGACAACATCGCCGATTTGAAAGCACAAATTGCTGCCAATAATAAGGTGAGAGCCCACATCGTTGGTGTGGTTAACGTTTCATGGTCAGTTTTAACGGGACTGCCGATGTTTGTTCCGTTATACGTCCCTTCTGAATTTGGATGCGTGCTGCGTGCATGCATCGTGCGTGCGTGCGTGCGTGCGTGCGGGCTAGTGATGGAAGAGGTGGATGGAGTAGGTAAGTAGTCCTGTCTAGGTAAGTGCTTTTCCAGCAAAGGCTGTGAACTCCGAAAGCCTTAATGATATTGGGTCCCAGGTTGTAAATTCAAATTTCTGTTCAGGGAATTTCATTAGTATGCGATCTCATAAGTGAGTATGGTCTCGATGTCGTACAAGCCTATATGCTGCATATTCAATCCACTGCAGAAGAAAGTGTGAGAGAAATGCTCAAAGAAGTAGGCGGATTATTGTCTACGCGTAAATTTTCATCTGGTTTGCTAAGCTTGTCTTTTCTTGTTTTCAGGTGGGTAAAAAAGTACTTGAAAGAACTGGCAACTCAAGTCTGCAGGCCTCTGATTCAATGGATGACGGAACCGTGATCCAACTAAGAATCACGATTGATGTAGAGAAGGTCGGCAAGTCGTGTAACGCACTGATTCACTTTACTTTACTTTACTTTTACTCAAACTCTCGAAACCCTAAGCTTACCCAAGCACGGGTTGGGTGTTTTATGTTCTTATGCGTCCTTCGTTTTAGGGCGAAGCATTGTTTGACTTTGCTGGCACTGGGATGGAAGTGTTTTCTTCGTGCAATTGCCCAAAAGCTGTCACAATGTCGGCAATTATTTATTGCTTGAGATGTCTGGTAGCAAAGGATATTCCACTGAACAGCGGCTGTCTCAACCCTATAACTGCAAGTTTTCGGCAAATAAAATATATTTCCAGTGAATATATTATGGAATTATCCAGAAAGATGACCAATATTTGTTTCCTTAAATATTTCTTGTCGATTACGCAAGAAATGAGGATGAGTCCAAGTGTTGGGATGTTGAGATAATGGATTTGGAATACGTTATTATAGCACACGGAAACGTTTCATCAGCGTTTGAAGCGACGAGAGGATAGACATCCTAGCCTTTTGAGCACGCCAATCACTTTTTTATCGACTTATGCTCCTGAATTTCGGACTTAGTACTAGATGATCTAAATTTCGATTACTTTCTTATCAGTATAATATGTTAGACCCGCGCTATCTGAAGGGACGTGTCAGGCGGGATAAGTATGGCCTGTTGTAAACACCGTTCTCGTCGAGGTAATGAAGCGAGCAATTGGCAAGGCTGTATCATATCGTTT